TAATCCCATAATTTTATGTGGTCTCTTCTTGACCGAAACATTGTTATGCAGCTCATGACTGTATATTTAAATTTAGTAACTGCCAGATGTGTTGTTTTGCATTTCCTTTTTTTTTTTTGGAGACAGAATCTTGCTCTGTCACCCAGGCTGAAAGGTTGGAGTGCAGTGGCTCCATCCAGGCTCATTGCAACCTCCCCCTCCTAGGTTCAAGCAATTCTCTTGCCTCCATGCACCCTAGTAGCTGGGATTATAGGTGCCTGCCATCATGCCTGGCTAATTTTTGTATTTTTAGTGGAGACAGGGTTTTTTATCATGTTGGCTAGTCGGGTTTTTTATCATGTTGGCTAGTCTGGTCTTGAGCTCCTGACACAGGAGATCCACACACCTCAGCCTCCCAAAGTGCTGGGATTACAGGCATGAGCCATAGCGGCGACCTGTTCTGCATTCCTATGAGCAATTTAGGAGAGTTCCAGTTGGTGTGATTCGTCATTGGCACATGCTATTGTCAGGTTAAATTTTTTTAAAAATTATTCTAATAGGTGTTTAGTGTGGTTTTAATTTCCATTTCCCTAATTTGAGCATCTTTCCATTTGCCCATTTACCTTTTGTATATCTTGTTTGGTGAAATGTCTGTCAAATCTTTTGCCCATTAAACAAAATTGGGTAGTTTTTCTATTAAGTTTTGAGTATTCCATATATTTTAGGTCTAAGTTATTTATTCATTATGTGACTTGCAAATATTTTCTTCTAATCTTTGGTTACTCTTTTCATTCTCTTAATAGTGTTTTTTTTTTTTTGAGACAGAATTTTACTCTTTTCACCCAGGTTGGAGTGTGGTGGCGTGATCTTGGCTCACTCAATCTCCACCCTCTGGTTTCAAGCAATTCTCCTGCCTCAGCCTCCTGAGTAGCCGGGATTATAGGTGCATGCCACCCCACTTGGATAATTTTTGTATTTTAGTAGAGACAGGGTTTCACCATGTTGGCCAGGCTGGTCTTGAGCTCCTGACCTTGTGATCTGCCCACCTCGGCCTCTCAAAGTGCTGGGATTACAGGTATGAGCCATAGTGCCCGGCCAACAGTGTCTTTCAAAGAGCAGACATTCTTATGATGAAGTCCAATTCTATATTTTTTTCCTTTTATACATCATGCTTTTGTTGTATCTGAGGAATCTTTGGCAGGATGTGATGGCTCACGCCTGTAATCTCAGCACTGTAGGAGGGCAAGGAGGGCGGATTATTTGAGATCAGGAGTTCAAGCCAGCCTGGCCAACATGGTGAAACCCTGCCTGTACTAAAAATACAAAAATTAGCTGGGCATGGTGGTGCACACCTGTAATGCCAGCTACTAGGAGTAAAGAGTTGGGGTGGAGGTGGTGGGGCTGATGCAGGAGAATTACCTGAACTCAGTAGATGGAGACTGCCATGAGCTGAGATTGTGCCACTACACTCCAGCCTGGGCAACAGAGGGAGACTGTCTCAAAAAAAAAAAAAAGCAAGCATCTTTGCCTAACCAAAGGTCACAAAATTTTCTCCTTCCTTCATCTAGATTTTATAGTTTTAGGTTTTTTGTTTAGGACTGTGAGCTATTGAATTATTTTTGTATAAGATGTAAGGTATGGCTCAAGGTTCAGTTTTTTGCATGTGGGTGTCCCAATTGTTCCAGCATCATTTGTTGAAAAGATTGTCATTTCTCAATTAAACTGCCTTGGTACTTTCGTTAAAAATCCGTTATGGCTCACGCCTGTAGTCCCAGCACTTTGGGAGGCTGAGGCAGATGTATCACCTGAGGTCAGAGGTTTGAGACCAGCCTGGCCAACATGGCGAATTCTAAAAATACAAAAATCAGCCGGGCGTGGTGGCACATTCCTGTAATCTCAGCTCCTTGGGAGGCCGAGGCAGGAGAATTGCTTGAACCCAAGAAGCAGAGTTTGCAGTGAGCCAAGATTGCACCATTGCACTCCAACCTGGACGACAGAGTGAGATTCCATCTCAAAAAAGAAGGGAATAGGTAGTGGGAGCCATACCGATAAAACTATAATTCCCCTCCTCACATATCTTCAGTAAATGGCATTGGAGAAGGATTATATTGTTTAATGCTGTATCTACAACTTAAGTGAAATGTTTTTGTCGTTAGTATTTCTCTGGACTACTTGTTACTGCCTCTCTTGTCTGGTCCTTTTTTGTGACACACCTAGAACAGGTCTGAGAACTTACTGCTTGACTCTACATAATACTGCCATTCAGAGCCTGAGAATCTTTTTTCTGCTACTGCGTTTTTTTCCTTTTGCTCCCTGTACGCAGGGGTGTGTGTCATAGGGCAGGCCGAGTTTCAGTAAGCTCCTAATGTGGATATTGGAAACCCCACCTGCCTGCCAAGTCCTTTTGGCTGTGAGCAAAGTGTATGCTTGGTATTTGTCATTCCTTTGCAGCAGTAGAGCTGCAGGAATGCTGCATGGCTTGTTGGAAGTTGCTTGGTGCCCTTGAGTGAAGTGTGTATGAGGGTGTGTGTAGAGAGGTAAGGGTCTTACAGTCTGTGTGGGAGATATGGGATACTTTCTGGTGTCATGTTAATCATCAGGCAGTATGTTAATCATCAGCATACTGCCTCCTTATGACTAGCACTGTAATAGGGGCTTTTGGAACAGAATAATAAAATATATGATTAAGTCATAGTTTAATAGTCAAACATTTCTAGCTCTGCCACTTACCAGCGTTGAATTGGGCAAGTTAATGTCTTTAAGCCTGACTTTACTTTTCTGTAAAATTGAACTATTAATAGCTATCTGATAGGACTGCTGTAAACATTAAATAAAGAACGTAAGTATTGTGTTTAGCACATGCCTGACTCTAGGTACTATTTCATTTCATGTAGTCATATTATGACAGGTACAATATAAAACAGAAAGTAATAAAAACAGAATAATGTGATAGTACAGTGTATAATCAAATACTTTAATTGTGACATGTAGATTATAAATAGTCTGAGAATTTACAGAAGGGAAAGAACTGTCTTATGCAACCATTTAATATTCCTGTACCTCAGTTTTTCCACTGGACATGCTGTAGACAATGCTAGGTGATCTCCCAGAGAATGATTAAGATGTTGAAGCTTTTTTGCGTTTTTAGATGGTGCATATGATGGTGGGAAGGAAGGGAAAAGACTGAGGAACTGTTAGAAACCAAATTTAACACTTAACATTAAAAATTTTTTTCTTATGTAGATGGACATGGCAGCCTTATAGGAAAACTTAAAGCAGGAGATGTGGTGGTTTCCTTCCAGGGAACATACTTGTTTTAGTATTACTCTCTGTTGCCTCACTGGCATTTTAATTAGTTGAAAACTCAAGTTGGTCAATGGATTGCCTCTGATTGTGAGCCCTTGGATATAATCTGGAGATTAAGTGATTTGTAACCCAAATTATCTCTCTGATCCTGTGGCAGAAATCAAACAAACAAACAAACAGGGCAGGAGAAGATTTAGTTCTCTTGGACTGCATGTTAAGGACATGTGGTTTACTCACCATCAGTGTTTCTCTGGATAGAACATCTTTACTCAGAACAGATCTTAGAGACTGCTAACATGGGCTTCCCACCTTTAAGCAGGTTTTCATAACCATATACATGGAAAACACCTTTTAAAGAGTGCTTTATTCACAAGGTCCAAAAGAAACTTTCAGTTCCTAGTTTGTTTGTGCTTACTTGGTGATTTGTTTTGTGTTAGCTTGGAAAGTTTGTATTTGGTTTTTATTTCTATCCAGATCAAGTTTCTTCTGCTTCAAGAAAATTTCAGAGAATTTTCCCCTGAAATTACATAAGGCTGTTCATACCTTTTTTTTCCCACTTCTTTAGTTTGAGTGTCTTTCTTTTTTGTTACTTATTTTTTCTTTTTTTGGCATTGTTTGCCAAGATTTCAAGTTTATAGTGAGAGGTGAGGCAACGTTGATTTTGGCAGAACAGTCCAAAGCCAGTAGAGTCATTAAGTGACGCAAGCTTTTGATTTTTTTTCTTTCTGTTAAAGCTCTCTGACACAGTTGGCTATTCTAGTCCCAGAAGAAAGAAGAGAGACTTGCTGAAGATCTGGATGGGACAATAGAAGTTTAGGGGCGCATTAAAAAGAAGCAGCAAGAGCATCAACAAAAACCTCAGATGATTCAAGCAGGCTTCTTGGCCTTGTGGAACTTTTTGCAGTTGCTCAGAATTTGTTTTTGGTTCAGAGGATGATGGGACAAGGCAATAGAGAACAAGGAGGGTTATGTTGGATTCTTGTTTATCTGTTTGCCTCTCCTTCCAGTTGGAAAATCTTCAGTCCATAAGAAGCATTATCAACAAGCCTGAAGGATACATCTTACCCTGATCCTGGATGCCGTTGGAGTTGAGGATTACATCCACTTTACCAGGACTTTATGGAGGCCATTCAAGAAAAATAGAAGGAAGCAATACTTAAGGCTTTTTCTGTTAACATTAGTCCTATGCCATGTTACATTTTGGACATTGTTTGAAACAAGTGAGGGAGGGCTCTGTCATCTGGATCTAGGAGGATACCTGAGTCCCTTGAACTACACAGATGATATTTGGAAGGTGGTAAACTCAAAATCTTCCAACATAAATTCACTGAATTCTGGATTCCCTTCCTTTTTAGAACTTTAGCAGACAGAAATTACCTGCCAAAAAAGGCACAAAAGCTTCTCCCTTTTTTTCAGGCTCAATGTGAACAATAATGTCTTGGAAGAGAAATTATTTTTCAGGGGGTCGGGGTAGTGTACAAGGGATGTTTGCTCCTAGAAGCTCAACCTCCATAGCCCCCAGCAAAGGCCTCAGCAATGAGCCAGGGCAAAACAGCTGCTTCCTCAACAGTGCCCTGCAGGTAAGGGTAATTTCTTTTTGGTGATCTATGACTTTTAATTGCTGATGCTGTATTTCTGACAACTCTTTTTAAATAAAATTCTTGACAGTCTCTGCTTGAGATTAGTAACCTGAGATCATTTTTACATTTATCTGTGTGATCTTAGGCAAGTCACTTTATCTCTTTGAATCTCAATTGCCTCATTTGTAAAAAGAGGGATTAATAATGATAAGAGAAATAATAATAACTGTAACTACTATTTATATGCCTAAAGGGAGGTAAATGGACCAGGTGATCTTTCTATTTAATCAGCTTTTTTCCTGAGCAATCTCTACTGGTTCCTATTTTTCTTTTCTTTTTTTCGAGACAGTCTTGCTCTGTTGATCAGGCTGGAGTGTAGTGGCACAATCACAGCTTATTGTACCTTGACCTCCAGGGCTCAGGTGATCCTTCTGCCTCTGCCTCCTGAGAAGCTGGGACCACCGGTGATCTTGGCCCACTACAACCTCTGCCTCTTGGGTTCAAGCAGTTCTCGTGCCTTAGCCACCCAAGTAGTTGGAATTACAGGTGTGCACCCCCATGCCTGGCTAATTTTTGTATTTTTAGTAAAGACAAGATTTTTACCATGTTGGCCAGGTTAGTCTCGAACACCTGGCCTCAAACCCCAATGTGCTGGGGTTACAGGTGTGAGCCACCTGGCCTGTTTTCTGTTTTTCCTTTTTAGAGCAAGATATGTTATCAACCTAGTTGCTTTTCTCTAGTATAGAATCAAAATTCTTTCCACAAGTCAAAGACTTTAAGGTATGTTAATCTCATCTCTTAATATTCAGGCTTTTGGCCCACACATTGAATGGAGTTTAGTCTTTGTCCAATTTATCTCCTCCCTTTGAGCTCTCCTGTCTTGGCTCATAACTGGTGTCTAGTCATATACATTTGAACAGAACTAGGGGAAAGTAATTTCCCCTTAATGTGATTATCTCCCCTACATTTTCCCTTTTACTGTTGCTTGCCACCTGAGTGGTCTGAGAATCCCAAAGCTTTCTTTTTTCTTTTTTTTTTTTTTTTTGAGACGGAGTTTTACTCATGTTACCCAGGCTGGAGTGCAATGGCGCGATCTTGGCTCACCGCAACCTCCGCCTCCTGGGTTCAGGCAATTCTCCTGCCTCAGCCTCCTGAGTGGCTGGGATTACAGGCACGCACCACCATGCCCAGCTAATTTTTCGTATTTTTAGTAGAGACGGGGTTTCACCATGTTGACCAGGATGGTCTCGATCTCTTGACCTCGTGATCCACCCGCCTCGGCCTCCCAAAGTGCTGGGATTACAAGCTTGAGCCACCGCGCCCGGCCTTAATCCCAAAGCTTTCTATCTGTCTGTCTGCTCTTCCCAGTCGGGCCCATAGCATGTTAAGTTCATCCCCTTTGGCCTAACTTTCAAGTAATTTCTTTCCCGTCTTTTCTGCTCTTCAGTTTAAAAGTAAATAAAATTTGCCACCCAAGATAATTATACTTGGGTAAAATATTAGCTGGACTCCTCAGATGTTGTGAGAAAATGGGTTGCTATGAGAGAAGACAAGATATTTAGTATAAAGAAAAATGGTCTTGGGCATTAGGAGGAGACCTGGGTTCTAGTTTTAGCCATTCTGTAGACTAGTCTTATGACCTTGTACAGATAATAGTGTCTGAGTTTCCTCATTCATAATACAAGAATGTTGCCAAGCTTATCTAGGTAATAAAAGTTTCATGGTCTTTTTCAGTTTTTATTTATTTATTTTTGAGATTGAGTCTCGCTCTGTCACCCAGGCTGGAGTGCAGTGGCGGGATCTCAGCTCACTGCCACCTCCGCCTCTCGGGTTCAAGGGATTCTCCTGTCTTAGCCTCCTCAGTAGCTGGGATTACAGGCTGTGCATCACCGCGGCTGGGTAATTTTTGTGCTTTAAGTAGAGATGGAGTTTTGCCATGTTGGCTGGGCTGGTCTAGAATTCCTGACCCCAGGTGATCCACCCATCTTGGCCTCCCAAAGTGCTGAGATTATAGGCACTAGCCACTGTGCCCAGCCTCTTTCTCAGTTTTTAAGTTTTTATTTGAAAACAATCCTAAAAAATTCTCTGCTGGCAAGCCTATAGAAAAAAATTTAAGTACTTTCCCTAATTATTACCACAGATTTCATGTAGTTGGTGGGGTTGGTTAGGTTTTTGTCCTGGATGATGCATATTCGTTCCCTTTCTTTCTTTCTCTTTTCTCTCTTTTCTTTTCTTTCCTTCCTTCTTTTCTTCTTTTTTTTGGCAGGGGTCTCACTCTGTCGCCTGGGCTGGAGTAGAGTGGTGCAGTCATAGCTCACTGCAGCCTTAACCTGCTAGGCACAAGCGAGCCTGCCACCTCAGCTTGCCTAGTAGCTAAGACTACAGACATGTGCCACCACACCTGGCTAATTTTTTTTTAAATTGTTTGTAGAGAGGCCGGGCGTGGTGGCTCACGCCTGTAATCCAAGCACTTTGGATGCCAAGGCGGGCGGATCACCTGAGGTCGGGAGTTCAGGACCAGCCTTACTAACATGGTGAAACCCCATCTTTAAAAAAATAAAAAATTTTTTAAAAAATTATTTGTATAGAGAGGTTCTCACTGTAATTGCCTAGGCTGGTCTTGAACTCCTGGGCTCAAATGATCTTCCTCCCTTGGCCTCCCAAAGTGCTAGGATTATAGGCATGAGTCACCACACCTGGCCACATATTAGGTTTTTAAATTACTTTTTATCCCAATAATACTTTCGTGATTTACAAGCAGGCAAAATAAGGCATTAGTATAAATTTGTATGTTTACCCTCTTCTTGGCCATAGTCCCATTTTTATAATTGTTTTTTTCTATATTGTCTGTTTATATTGTCAGTTGAAACAATACAATTTATGATTTTCCATTCTAATTTCCACTGCCATATATAATACATTGCGCACACACACACACATTTCTATATCCATACTTAATGATTGAGGCATTGATGGTTTTAGAGTCCCTATTACAATCATGTTACATGTTGAAAATAATTGTTGCTATGAGCTAATATTCTAACTTTTGGTATCAAAATTGTTTTTGCTACAGATGGGTTGAACCTATAACATTTGTTATAAAAAGGTGTTACTGACTTCGGATCATAGCCAGTTTCAAAGAACTTTTAGTGTGTGTATCTTGAGACATAAGTAAGAAGTAGTTCCAGAAGTATGCTGTGATCTGGGGCTCCAGAAAGTATACTTTTTTATATATTATGACATTAAATGTTTTCCTAGCAAGGGGGAGCTCCCTAAGGCATTATGCTATATATTTCTTTTTTTTTTTTTTTTTTGTTTAATAAAGTTTTATTTTTCCAAATGTACGGTTGGTTGGACCTATTCATGCATCTTTACCAGCAGCTGGAGCTTCTCCACCCTTGGTATTTCTAGTGTAAATTACTTGAGCTATATGCTTTAAAACCAGTTTGATAAGTCCTTTGCTAAGGAACTCCTGAATGGCTACCCTGGCCAGGAAGCCTTGAATCTTCAGTTTCTCAGAGACCACAGCTGGGGTTATAAGTTTATAGTTGGGAACTTCCTTGCAGAGTTTGTCATAGGCAGCTTTGTCAAACAAGACTAAGTTATTGAGCTTGTCCCAAACTTTGCCTTTGGACCACTTCTTCTTTTTGACCTTGCCCCCAGATTTGTTCACTGGGTCTTTGTCTTTCTTGGCTGACTTTCCAGTGTCTTTCTTCTTTTTGTCATACTTGGGCAGCATTGGGAAGCTTAGAGAGCAGCAGCGACCGTGCTAAGTGCAACCGTGCTAAGATGTGAGAGTAAAAAAAAAGCACATCATTTCTTGTCATGTCTTCTTAGGCTCCTCTTAGCTGTGATATTTTCTCATAATGTCCACGTATTTGATGATCTTTGACAGTTTTGAGGAGTACTGATCAGGTTTTTTTTTAATATCCCCCTCCCCTATTGGAATTTGTCTGATGCTTTTCTCATGATTAGACTAGGGTAGTGGGTTTTGGGGAGAAAGACTACAAAAGTGTAGTGCCATTCTCAACACATCACGTCAAGGGTATATACTGTAACATGATTTATCCTCAATATCATATATTTTTTTCATTTCAGCGAAAGTATAGAAATCGTTATTTTTTACCCAATTTACTTAAGGAGGTCACACTTCTTTTAGAAATGTCTAAAAATTGAGAGTTCTAACCAAGACAAAATTCCACACTGCAGTTCCCATTTCTTTTATTTTTATTTTTTTTAATTTTAATTTTTTTATTCTTTGAGACAGAGTCTTACTCTGTTGCCCAGGCTGGAGTGCAATGGTGCAATCTTGGTTCATTGCAACCTCTGCCTCCCAGGTTCAAATGATTCTCCTGCCTCAGCCTCCCTAGTAGCTGGGACTGGAGGTGCCTGCCACCACACCTGGCTAATTTTTATATTTTTAGTAGAGACAGGGTTTTACCATGTTGGCCAGAATGGTCTTGATCTCTTGACCTCGTGATCCGCCTGCCTTGTCCTCCCAAAGTGCTAGAATTACAGGCGTGAGCCACTGTGCCCGGCCTACATTTCTAATATAAGCTTTAAACTCTTCTTGCTTTTCTTATGGACAATTAAAATAAATCCTTATTATTCAGCTTTAACCCGTAAATTTCCTCTTCAGGATCACATTTAATGTATGTCATGTCATATTTTCACTGAATTACTTTCACTTTATGTTCAAATGAATATATTTCCCAGAATATGACCATTTATTTTTCTTGTTAGATACCTCAGCTTTTTTCACATTTGTTTTAATATACTGTACTAGAATGAAGTTTCGCTTAGGAATACAGATATCTTCTGCAGTCATTACCTATGTTTGCATGAGCTCTTCACTTTAAAATTAAATGATGACTTTTTATAGAATAATGAAGTATTTTTCATTTCTCATCAGGTTTTGTGGCACTTGGATATCTTCCGACGTAGCTTTAGGCAGCTTACAACTCACAAGTGCATGGGAGATTCCTGCATCTTTTGTGCTCTCAAGGTAACTACTTCCAATTAGTTTCTTCTCACTACCATTGGGTTGCCAAATGGTCAACATCAAAGTGGTTTGGTTAATCAGGATGGTGCTAAAGAATTTGTTACTGAATTATCTACCTGTGGTTTAGTGTAAAAATGGACATGATTGGTTTGCTTGCTTCAAAGAATTGGTACTCGGCATGGTATACTCTTTTACTGAACCTTTTTTGCTTATACAATTCTATTTGTTGTGATAGGATATTATGCAAGTATACTTTAATTTTTTTTTTTTTGAGACAGAGTCTCATTCCGTCGCCAGGTGCCAGGCTGGAGTGCATTGGCACGATCTTGGCTCATTGCAACCACTGCCTCCCTGGTTCAAGCAATTCTCCTGCCTTAGTCTTCCAAGTAGCTGGTACTACAGGCACACGCCACCACACCTAGCTAATTTTTATATTTTAGTAGAGACGGGGTTTCACTATGTTGGCCAGGATGGTCTTGATCGCTTTACCTCGTGATCTGCCCGCCTAGGCCTCCCAAAGTGCTGGGATTACAGGCGTGAGCCACTGCATCCAGCCAATTTTTATATTTTTAGTAGAGACGGGGTTTTGCCATTTTGACCAGGCTGGTCTCAAACTCCTGACTTCAGGTGATCTACCTACCTCAGCCTCCCAAAGTGGTGGGATTACAGGCGTGAGCCACCGTGCCCAGCCTGCTTCTGCTTTGAGTATTTATTTGAAAGGCTAATTCTAAATTTTCAATTTAAATGAAGCAACTAGGTGTTTTTAGGGAATTAATTTTGTTTGTTAAAGCTAAGTTTAGCAATAAACTCTTCCTATTGATAAACGCCAGTACAACAGATTACAGGTGGCACATACCTGTAATCCCAGCCTTTGGGAGGTCAAGGTGGGAGGATCACTTGAGCCTAAGAGTTAAAAGCTGCAGTGAGTTGTCATTACACCACTGCACTCCAGCCTGGGCAAGAGTGATACCCTGGCTCAAAGAAAAGAAAAAAAAGGAAAGAAAAGAGAAAAATGTCAGTACTAAAATTTTCCTATTCCCTAGTTTCCCATTACTACATTTACTTGATTCTTTTATATTAGCCCTCTACCCCATGTATTGTTTAGCTTCAAGTTTTTCATTTCTGTTTTTTTCTTCCTCACCTGTCTCCAAGTTTTTCATTTCTGAATATAATGAAACCATAGATTTCTTTAGAGCAAAGAAAATGGCCTAAAGTGAGAGATTTGCAACCTGGAGATTTTAGGTATGTTGTTAAAGAGAAAGAACTATGATGTGTAAAGGGGTAATTCCAACATGTAGTTTCCCTGTATTTTCTTGGTCCAGATATATAATGGATTATTTGTATGTGGATGAGTCTGTCTAATTTCTGAGTAAGCTTCTACAGTCATTTTTGTTTTCATAAAGTCTGAATTCTTAGTTTGTTACAGGGTTGCTTGGATGTGATTGTTATATGTGTAATTTTTAATAGTTGCTTTTACATCCTGAAATAGAAATTGTGACTAAAACTTTAGGAGATTTTCCCAGTTATTTATATATATATATATATATATATATATATATATA